ACGGAAAATGTGCTCGCCTTGACAAACACATCGCCTCGTGGCCTGAGCTGCGAAAGCCCCCGTATCGCCAATCGAACACAGGCACTTTGAGTGCGATGAAGGGGTCAAGACAGGACTCGTTTGGCATAACTTCAGTCATTTCTAACATTGTCATGAGGCTCCGAGAAAAACAGTACAGGGCAAAAGTAGGCATGCCAAATGCTTCACAAGCGCGGTGAAATGCAGCAGAATGCGTTGAGTGAGGTAGTCATGTACCCTGTTCTCAGGCAAGCTGGCTTCCACCTGGACAAGTTCTGACAAATCCGCATGTCAAGTTTACAGCAACCGTTATCAGGCTTGCTCAGAAGCAGCTGAAGTATCGAAACAAATCCAGTCGCCCCTGAGTCAACGTCATAGCAAAACCCCCAAGGCCCACAAACCCAAAGCCCCAAAGCCCCAAACCCCCGAAGGCCATTCCAGGATAAAATGAAGATGTCCATACCCCTCAACTCTTCACCTCTCCAGCCACTTCTCAGTTCCCCGCGCGCACGGACTCTGCGGACAAGGGCCGCTCGGCAGACTGCGGCCGAGTCAACATCACCTGGCCAAGCCGAGGGCCGTGCGCGTCAATAGAACAGATTCACATGGAGCCCGTAAAATCCTGCAGGAATCTCCTTTTAAAGGCCCTTGTTTGAGTTCCATATTCATTTGCAGGAGAGTAGCATGGCCATTCTGGCATGCTCCATGGATCCCATTCCCTTGCAGCAATGGGTGCAACAAAGCAGCTTTGATGACACCCAGGGTAAAGGAATCTGTCGGCGATGACTATGTCAGAGGTTGAAGGGTCTACCCGAGAAACAGCTGTGATTTCCATTACGAACATGTTTCGCTGCAAACAAAGAGCCACATTGAAGATATCCCGTGAAGGAAACTGCTGCCAAAGACTCAAGTTACTTGTTGGTTGCATGGAGCCTCTCCCAAGGCGATCTTGCAGCCGGTGTGACGAAATCAGTGTGTGCATCGCGAGAGGTACCCAAAGCGGTCTCCATTCGGCTGTATGAATTCTCGCAACACCCTCAAAATGGTTGGTGGACGAAAGTCCCCATGCAAGCAATGCGAAAAAAGGGTCCTCAATCACAATTCATGCCCTTGTCTGCGAAGCCGACACTTCGCCACCTCTTCCATGGCTTTCCGCTCGGCATCCTGGCAACTGCGCTGTGGACATCCTGTGGTAATCCCCCAGTGGTTTCTGGCTATTGGGTATTTGCGCCCAAACACCCAAGCACCTGACTGGCCCCTTCTGCAAGCGCCAGCACCCCACTGGCCCAAGTCCCAGGGCGTACCCAAGCAAAGGGGCGGCGGATCAAATGAAGCTGCAGCCTCTGGGCAATGAGCGTCTTCCCGCGAAATGCGGAAACCCCTTGCTTGCCCGGATATCTTGAAGCAAGAACATCTAGCGCACCTTCTTTTGGAGAGCACTGCAAGCAGCTAAGGGTGGCTTTCACAGCTGAGCATTTACATGAGTCAGAAGTTGCAGTTGGGTGAAATATATGTCTCAATATGATGGAATTCCGCCTTCTACCCCAGCCCCCTACGCATCCTCTTGGCAAAAACGACTGCCCTGGTGACTGCTTGGAACCAAGTCGTATGCCGTCCGACTTGGCTCAATCTCCATCGAGTTCCTGTGAGTGCAAAAAAGAGATAGAGAAAACTCTAAGCAATTTGGGAACCGGGTTTTTGGCCACTTCCGCTATGCTTTACGTTAGGCACACCCGCCTTTTCCTGAACTTCAAGGCCGAGAAAACACGGAAACAACTTGGATACTATTAGAAGATGCAGGGCAGGAAGCAGAACATGATCCAGGGAAAATGCTCGGGTGATCTTGGCTCCCGATCCATACCACCCTGTTGTGACTAGTGACGACTAGTGTGCCACCGTGGCATTTACGCTGGAGAAAGCGCAGCCGAAGAAGCTGCAATTTTGCTGTGTTTGTCGCTATGTCCAAAGTCCCAAGGACCCTTTCAAGAAATACTTGCAAATCTTCCCATACGGCCAGCAAAAAACAGCGACACGTCGTGCTTTCCTCTGCGGACGTCTAGCTCTGGCCCCGTGCCTCTGGCGGGGGGGTGCCTGCGCGGGACCCCGGCACCTGGCGGAATTCCGTTCGCGCGATTCCGCCGGCCAGGCAGTTTTGGAGGCCCTTGGAGTTCCAAGTGCACGACAGTACTCAAGCCTTCTGACCTTGCTGAGTTGTCTTTTTTGTTGTTCCAACCGTAGAATTCCTTGAAGTATGCTAAGTATTGCCTCCTCCAACTCTGCCAAAAGCAATAGATGATTTCCAACCAGCTTCCCGAGTGCCAGAAGCAACTGAGCGGATGAACCAGCCAGCTATACCAATTCCTGGCTACTACCCGGGAGAGTCCTCCACTGGTTTACAGTGCTTGCTTCTCAGCTGTACCCTCCCTCCAAGGAAGCATGGCACAAGGCAGGTGGCAGTGGGTCATTCTCCAAGCTAGACGCCGCACAAATCATGTGACTGTGGTGGTCTTTGAAAATATCCTTGCCCTGATCAGATTCCACGTTTGTATGCACAAGGGTATTGCGTTTCCTGAGAGTAAAACCAACGAGAGGCTTGCTAAGGCCTTATTTGGAAGCCAATCGAAGGGGGGCTGAAGTTTGGCACGAGCTCGGCCCTTGCCTGGTTCACCAGCGCGTCACGCTTCAGCCGGAGCTCCTTTTCTGACTGCAAGGGGGCCTCAAGCGGAGTTTCACCAGCTGCATGATCGGGGTTGCTCACCCAAGGGGTTCCGACAGGGGAGAATCATTCTGGAAATATTGGCTCGGTACAATGTTTGTCAAAAAAACAGTAACTATTACGCGGTCCTAGGAATCCCATGCCAGCACGTCAGCACATCTGGGTCACCAAGTCCATAGCCTCCCACCCACATGAACATGGAACTTGACTGGGGGCTCTTTCAAACTAATCACTTGGACATTCAGAGCACTGGGCCGAAATCACATTGCGCCAACACTAAGGCCATCGCCATTCCTTGTTTCACTTGAACTTTAAACAGTTAGATGCCCCTTCTCCGCTCGAGTTCCACCATGGTTTGCGCAAGGGGTTCCTGCTTGACCATTTTCCTGGGCCAATTCTCTAAATTCTCGCTACGTCGTTTGACCCTTTGGTGCAGCGAGTTCCGCTCGGAGCCCGCGCTGGCGAGGTCGAGCGCCGTCTCGAAGCCTCGCTTGTGCAAGAGCAAACAAACGGGGTACACCCGAAACTGTGGGCTTCCGGTGGTCCCCGTTTAAAATAGCGGTCGTGTCATTTGTTCATTAGATGCCTTGCACAAAGCAACGAGGAAACAAACAGTACCTGTTTCAGCCCTCTGCAATCCAACCATGCAAATCGTATAGAGGCCTTGACGTTTTCCAAACCGCGATTGAAGTCAAGTCATGGATCCAACAGTCAGCAATTGCCACTTGCAGCTTTTGGAAATCCGGCCGGCCGATCTTTTGCAGCATGGATCCCCCCCCCCCCCCAAACGGGTTGAAGCCCCCCTCCCTCATCCACCAGGGGCTGAGGTTGACTTGTGACTGACGGCTAGGCGCTCCCGCCCTGCGGTCGTGGCCATATGCCGTGCCCAGGGTGCCAAGATGAAGCTCCTTGGGATCCTGCACCCCGAGGCAGTGGAAACATCCACAGCTGCTGATGCCGAACTCTCAAGGGTTCAAAGATCTATCCCGTCCAGAAAGAACCCGCCGGAGGGCAACTTGTTAAAGGAAAATTGTCCAGGTTACACGGCAACGTAGGAGGGCAATCAACGTCAAGCCTGGCAGTCTGATGTCGTGCACAAAGCTCCATGAGCAAAATGGAACTTGCTAGGCACCAGTCAAATAAGGCTAAGGATATTTGGTCAATAGCTACAGGATCCACCCACGCCAGTTCTATCGTTGAAATGTGTCACATTGTACGAGCTTGAAAAAGGCTGTGATTTTGTTGGCCTGGCTAAACTAACTACTCACATCGAATATGACCAGGAATGCAAACAACGAATGGACGCCATAAACCATGTTTGCATGCACACATGCCTGTACTAGAGCGAATGGTCCCACGCATACGACATGATCTACGCGCAAAGCAAGCCGAACTATACACAGTGGATCAGGGGAAACAAGTAATGCAAGAACAATGAAGCTTGCAGATACGATCCAGTTTGCGGCTGCAGCTACCAGCTGGGTGTTGTGACCACTGCATTGACGTCATGCTCAATTCACATTCCAGAGTCCATGCCTCGCCCTCTTCTCTTCCGGAGAAAACCAACACAGCAGTGAGATGTGGGTATGCGTCAAAGTAGACCCAAAAAAAAAGGTTGTGTTCCCTTGGGTCCACTTTAAAACCAAGTTGAAAAGATGTGGCCTGGCCATATCTACCAGGTCCCAAAGGTGTCAAACAAACGTGGAAGTGTACAAGTGTTTTGGAGGAGATGGTAGTCCTCCAAAACCCTCCTGTGCAGTATCGTTGTTGGAAAGAGGGGTAAAGGAAGCAGCCCCGAGCCAACGTGATAACCCTCAAAATGCAGCCCAGTGCGTGTGAAGTTCTCCAGTGCTTCCCTTTCAACATCACCAAGAGGAATCTCCCTTTTCAGTTGACTCCAAACGGTGATCGTGACACCATCCAAAAAGAAAACACTGTAAACAATTGATCCCTTTTGGGGGGATGTGTATGGTGGGTTTTATTTTGAATGGACGTATCAAACCCTTCCGCGAAACCTTCCGCGGTGTGAAGGCTACCTTCCGCGAGCATACTTCTATGTTAAGTGTTTCCACGGACAAGTTATTTCTGGTATTTGTGGAAGGCAACTTCCGCGAGTGAACTTGTGTGCACGATTTGCTGGTAAACCCACTGCGCTTGGCAAACACCACCCAAACGAGATCAAGCCACTATGCGCTCCTGCGGCTCTACAAGCTTGGCTCTACAAGCGCGGCTCCACATGTGGGCGTGCTTGCTGGCCACTGTTTGC